AGACAACCATTTCTTTCCGTTGCAGACGAGGAGTCACAATAACGTGGCTAAAGTACATTGACCAGACCACACACTAGAAGGTGAAGGGACGACGACGACGACGTTTCGGTCCGTCCTTTTTTTTTTTTTTTTTTTTTTTTTTTTTATTTTTACATGCAAGCATGCGTATAATGGACAATAAAAACAGAACAAATATAACATAGAACAAAAGAACAAAGCACACACATGAACAATGACAAAGGAACAAATCAAGAAGACGACCAGCCAGAAGGGCTGACCACAAAACAAAAAATGCATATACAAACATAAATATAAACACAGCGTAATACAAACATAAGGGAAGCATAGAGGCGAGAAACAGACAAAACAAGTCTGCTAACACCTCAAACACATAATGCACACATAACAAAGAGCACACCCCAACAGCCTGAAGGGCACACAATATGACAAGCAAGCGCACACGACATCCACAACCGAACACACAAACGCACAGGAACCGCACACCCCCCACTAGCCATACAAGAAAACCCACAATACAAACCGGAGCACGCAGGAACCGGGAAACAATACCCACCCCACCCACTCACATACACACCCCACAACCAGGCAACACAAAAGACATAGAAATCACTTGCGAGGAACCTCGTGAGAAATGTACTTCTCCGGGAAAAGATCATAAGGATATTTCGCCTTGTAAGCTTCCCAGACTAGATCTTCAAGGTCGGTAGGGTTTTCGACCCCCCGCGCTCGAGCGGGTATCATAAACTCGGGAACATCTATATCTGGCGGCATCGGCCAATGCCTAAGGTCACTGACGCAAGTCGCATAACGAGGCCGGGGAGCGCCAACCACGCCCTTCGAGGAAGCAGATGACACCGGAGAAGCGGACGAGGGTCGCCGAGCCTGCCACGCCTTCGTCATCGGAGCAGGTGTCGGACGCTGAGACGATAGCACTTCCACGGATACCGCAGGAGACACGGAAGGGACTGCAGGAAACGGAAGAGGCGGCAAGACCGCTGCCGAGGAAACGGGTAACGAGGAAGGAGCCACAGAACATCCAGAGCGAGCATCCTTTCTCAACATCACTACCAGGCCACCCCGCTCACCACCAACTACAGCAGGGGGAACCACCGCCCACGAAGAACCGGAGCCATCCGACGCAGGCAACGCACCTGAAGCAGGACCCTCGGACACCGGACCAGAGGTTGAGGCCGAAACGCCGGCACCGGCATCCTCAGGCAAGTGTACCTCCGCCACCACCGTAGTGTGCACCACATCCGGAGTCACGCCACCGTCAACGGAAGGACGACACTCGTCGAATTCGCCAACATCAGCCCACGCAGAAGAACGCCGGGAACGCTTAGGCTCGGGCCGCACATCATCAGACCCGGAGGCAGACTCAGCGACCCGCGCAGCACCAACCGAGCGAACCGACGCACGCCGCAGCACGGCAGCCTCCTCAACCACACGGGGCACCAGGCCAGGCACAGGAGGGAATTCCGGATCCACCTCAGCTCCCAGCACAGCCGGGACAGACGGCGAGGGTGCAGGGACCGGGACAGACACAGCAGAGGAAGAACTGGAAGACGAGGGGACCGAGCAAACGGCAGGCGGAAGAGGCTCAGGGACACCAGCTGGAGCACTAGGCGAGGACACAACCTCCGGAGGAGATGCGGCAACAACAGGGGGCGCAACAGGCGGAGCAACAGCTGCTACAGAGGGCACCTCCTCAGCCGAAGAGACGTCCATACCCACCGAATCATCCCCCACAGGAAGGGGCGGAAAATCCTCCTCACTGAAGAGGTTCACTGGTGCAACAGGAGGCGCAGAACAGTCAGCAGCCTGATGGCCCAAAAGACCACAACGATAACACGTCCGCGGCTGACGGGCGTAAAACACCCGAACGTTGAACCCCATAAGGCGCACAGAGGACGGAATATCCGCCCGGAGTCCCATGCCCAGGGTGCGAATGTTAGACCTCACACCCTTAAGAGGACTAGAAGACACCACGTTCACTCTCACACTAACAACTGCGCCAAACCGCCCGAAATACCGCCGTAGCAGAGCCTCTGGAAACTCCAAGGGAGCCCCATGCACACTGATGTAAGTAAGTGCACCACTTCTATCCGAGAGGGTGACAGTGCCCGCACCATCCGGCAGGGGCAGAGTCCGCCCCTCGTATCGCCGGAGAAAATCGCGATACGCCACCTCCTCTGCAAACTTCACAATTGCCCTACGGGCCGTTACCAACTCGACCCCATAAATCGCAAACACAGGGACAGAGAGCATTTCACAAGCCAGGGCAATCTCCGGGTAACCAGCCCGCACAGAGAACTCTAGTCCCACAGACTGAGCCCGGACGACTGGGGGTAGAGGGACCCCCATCGTAACGCCACGTCAGCACAGGCGAGCAGACACACCCGCCCCCAACCGGCCGAAACGGGCAAACAACACCAAACTGCTGGAGCGCCGATTCAACACGTCTGCCCCGCACCGAAGCTAGGGCCAGACTCCCCTTTCGGTCCGTCCTGGACCATTCTCAAATCAACTCCGGTAAATCGCATTGAGAATGATCCAGGACGGACCGAAACATCATCGTCGTCCCTTCACTTTCTAGTGTGTGGTCTGGTCAACATTTCTTTCCGTTCATCTTCTTGGGGGTGATGGGTCACGGTCAGCGTGTCTAAGGGAAGGTGGTGACTAAGGTCTGAAACCGCCGTCGGGTATAGTGTTTCACAACAGCTCCACCACCACCGGCAGGTAAGAGGTCCCCGCCCCTCCACACCACCACTCCGGTAAACTAACCGGATGTTCATGTTTATGTTGGTGAAATCCAACATGGCGGAACGCGAACACTTCTTCCAGCAGCAGGTTGATAAGAGTGCGGCGCGGAGACGTTGATGAAGACGGTGGTAAGAGATAATACAGAGGAGGAGAGATAGAAGGGAAGCACAGAAAGGATATCAAGGAGCCGCGATAACGAGGATAAATAGTCCTGGTAACTATATCTTGCTCGATACATTGTTTGGCCTGCTAGACACACTGCCTGGCCTGCTTGACACACTGCCTGGCCTGCTTGACACACTGCCTGGCCTGCTTGACACACTGTCTGGCCTGCTTGACACACTGTCTGGCCTGCTTGACACACTGCCTGGCCTGCTTGACACACTGCCTGGCCTGCTTGACACACTGCCTGGCCTGCTTGACACACTGCCTGGCCTGCTTGACACACTGCCTGGCCTGCTCGACACACTGCCTGGCCTGCTTGACACACTGCCTGGCCTGCTTGACACTCTGTCTGGCCTGCTTGACACACTGCCTGGCCTGCTTGACACACTGCCTGGCCTGCTTGACACACTGCCTGGCCTGCTTGACACACTGCCTGGCCTGCTTGACACACTGCCTGGCCTGCTTGACACTCTGTCTGGCCTGCTTGACACACTGCCTGGCCTGCTTGACACACTGCCTGGCCTGCTTGACACACTGCCTGGCCTGCTTGACACACTCCCTGGCCTGCTCGACCCACTCCCTGGCCTGCTCGACCCACTGCCTCCTAGTCCCCCTAACCAACACACCAACCTCACTAAAGAAGACCTTGAACAACCTCATCTAAACCAACATTTTCATACACATTTATAAACACAGTTTGAGAAGCGATTTGAAGAATGACTTCAGGTATTTTGACTAACACAGTTGAAGACTTTTGTGATGTATTTAATTACAAAGGGACGTGCTGGAATGTTTTCAAATATAGTGTAATGATGTGAGCTTGTTGACCCCCCTAGACCCCAGGCGGGGGACACGAGACCCCCTCGCTACACCATTCATCACATTCATCACGTATTCATTTATACCTGCAAGCTTGATAGCAACGCTGAAGGTGGGGAAATTTAATGGCATTATAGAGGGGCGTGGCTGCTTGGGGGTGTGGGGGCGTGGCCAGCATGATGATCAGGGGGGCGTGGCCAGCATGATGATCAGGGGGGCGTGGCCAGCATGATGATCAGGGGGGCGTGGCCAGCATGATGATCAGGGGGGCGTGGCCAGCATGATGATCAGGGGGGCGTGGCCAGCATGATGATCAGGGGGGCGTGGCCAGCATGATGATCAGGGGGGCGTGGCCAGCATGATGATCAGGGGGGCGTGGCTAGCATGATGATCAGGGGGGCGTGGCCAGCATGATGATCAGGGGGGCGTGGCCAGCATGATGATCAGGGGGGCGTGGCCAGCATGATGATCAGGGGGGCGTGGCCAGCATGATGATCAGGGGGGCGTGGCCAGCATGATGATCAGGGGGGCGTGGCCAGCATGATGATCAGGGGGGCGTGGCCAGCATGATGATCAGGGGGGCGTGGCCAGCATGATGATCAGGGGGGGGTGGCCAGCATGATGATCAGGGGGGCGTGGCCAGCATGATGATCAGGGGGGGGGGCGTGGCCAGCATGATAATCAGGGGGGGGGCGTGGCCAGGATAATGATCACACACATTTCAAAGTCAACAAAGTTATCCGTGTAAGTGTTGCCGCGAGTTGCAACACTTCCTACCAGGTTTACCTCCATCACAAAACTGTATACAAAACTATCCTTCACAAAACGTTTGTTAAACTTGCCACAAGTAAGGAAGGGAGAGACAGAGGGAAAAGGGAGAAGGGGGAAGAAAGAGAGGGAGAAGAACACGACAAATTAGAACCCAAAAAAATGATCTCATAGTGCGTGTTCATAGTGTTGAGTGTGAAGTTAGAATGCAACACCCACATTGCATGTGGATAATTTCACCCACACAACAAAGTTATTAATACTTTCTCTGCCACTCGACCTTACGTGGACTGACTGAATCAGCTCCGAGCATGGCCGTCAGTCCTCACACTTTCACAGGTAAATTATAAACAACTGACCTCACGCAAACAAGATTTAAACCCCGCCTGTAAACCAAAAACTGGCAATAAAACTTTATCCCTATAGCTAATTTTTGACAGGGACATCTTGCAAGCGTTACTGACCTTGTGTAGACAGGCTGCTGGTCTTCCTCCTCGTCCTCGAAGGGCTTGACGGTGACCTTCCTGCGGGTGTAGTCGAGGCCAGTGCCAGGGTGGTGCAGGTCCGGGGACATTATGCGGCTGTAACCACAGAAGAAGGAGGAGGTCCCATGTTAGCTGGCCGGCTACTGAATGGTGTGGCAAGAGGCATTCTTCAAATTCATGAGGGTCCCTGTCACTCTGATATACTGTGTATCATATCATGTCTATCTGATCATTTCTAGACTTATCAAGCAAGATAAGCTCTTTGTTGGGATATTATCAGACGTGTGTGTGTGTGTGTGTGTGTGACTCCTACTCTCGTGTTGAGTGTTTTATCCGCCACTGCTACGGTGTCAGTCATGCCCAAGCTGGAATTAGTTATAAATAAACAATACCTTCCCTGGTTACCTGCCCAACCACTTTGGGTGGACGGTAGAGCGACGGTTTCGTTTCATACATTGACAACAGATTCAAGTGTTGCTTAACCTGCTCCGGGGAAAGAGAAGTTTAAGAAAAGAAGGAGCGGAAAGCTTATGGGCAAAGCCCAGGCGAACAGCCTCCACCAGAATCACCCAATAAGTAGTCAATGTTAAAATTAAGCCTCCTGTTAAGCTGGAACCAATCGTATTGGCGTATGCCTTTCCATTGGAGACTTCCAGCGCCGTGGAGAGGCGGGACCTGCTGCATGGGTAACAGCTTCTCCCATGTATCAACCTACCCTGGCTTTGCGCCCTGGTGAGGCCACTCCAGACCGACAACCAGAGCGCAACTCCATAGTCTCCTGAGACTGATGGATGCCTACTACTACTACTATTGGTAAAAAAAAACAAAGATAGGAAAGACGAAAGTAATGGAAATTAACAAAGGCTAAGAGGGTACAGCAAACATTTTGAAGACCTGTCAGGGCGCCTCGTACTGGCAGCGAAAGGAAGGTTGAAGGTGTTGCTGAAGGATAAACTCCAGCAACAGACCAGCCAGAGAAACTCCACACAAGAAGGTCGATGGAGGGCGTCGAAGTCTTCTTGCTCGCTGGAGGTGTTTGGATGGACCAGTATCACGTGTCCCCCAAATTCTCCATCTTTAAAAGAGCTGACGAAAGCATCAGGATCAGAGAAAATGGATATACCATCTACTAGGTCAAGTGAAGACATCACAATCATAGAATGCGGGTCGCACGCACAAAGGAAATTTGCTGTTCAATGCAGATGTGAAGAAATTTACTTGCGGAATGCCCAGTATCCTCAGAAGGAAGGCTCTACTCAACTCCTAGGCCATCTTTTTGAGATATATACAAGAGTTGTTACATTCTTGTACAGCCACTAGTACGCGTAGCGTTTCGGGCAGGTCCCTGGAATACGATCCCCGCCGCGAAGAATCCTTGTTACAACCAAGTACACACTTTACTGTTGAGTTAAACAGAGGCTACAGTTAAGGATTTGCGCCCAGTAAATCCTCCCCAGCCAGGATACGAACCCATGATAAAGCACTCGCGGAACGCCAGGCGAGTGTCTTACCAATACACCACGGAGACTGGTCTAGATCTAGGTTGAAAGAAAGCGAGAAAGAACCTCAGCCAATTCTTTCGACATCCCACAGCGTGAGATGAGAAGCTGTGATCAATGTTCAAACCATCAGCCATTATCGGAAATCACTTCCCAGAAAGTCTTCCGCTACCAGTGATCTCTACTATCCTGCGACTGGAATATCTTTACAGTGTATCTGGACTTCTGATGGACTTGGTCCCATTCCATTAGAATTTCACTGTATCTGAGCCACCTGTACCTAAATCAGGGCATGTTTTGGGAACCTGGAACCGGACTTACGTGGAGCGCCTAACTCCCTCACCAATCACACTGTCACAAACAGTGTCTTGAACCACTGAGTGATTATCCTTGGTAGGAGCTTTATGATGGTTTATTCCGCTTTTTGGGATAAGCATTTAGAGCTTTATGACTGAGCCGAGTGGTGTTGTCAATCCCTGGAACGTTAAGTGCCGTTGGGAGCCATTACTTTGTTATTGTGTCCTGTCTTCAAGGCTGTGCTTTATGTTAACAACATGATCCGTACCCCCTAGTACAGGTCTGTATTTCTGTATTCCCATGGTCTGTATTTTGCTTCGACTCTGGGTCAGGGTTCTCTTGGGTCAGGATTCTCTTCCTTGGTGATGGGCTTATATTTCCCCCCTCCACCACCACAGATATGTGCTCTGAGTGTTGTTGTGGTTGTTAAAGATTTAGCTACTCAGGACGAAGTGTCCATGTAGCACGGGCTATGGTGAGCCCGTAACCCGTGCTACATGGAGTGGTTCAGGTGCCCCTTTATGTCCTGACTCTTCTTGAGTCAGCTGACTTCCGGATAACACAAGGGCTCTCCACTGAGACCTGTTGATGAGAAATATAGTACAATAATTATGTGGTGTTTTACATGCTCCGAGGGCACTTAGCTCTGCTCCGATCTCGTCTTGAGGCTTTGCGCTTTTCCTGAAGATGCAGTTTAGTTATATGTGATTATCCTTGCCAGGAGGTACCACACCTTTCCTCATCAGGTGTTTATGATCGAAGTTCGGGTTTAGTTAAGTGGAGATGCTGTCCTTGCGTCTGGCACATCTTATGTAGTGATTCAAGTAGCTGGTTTCCCTCGTTCTTATGAGGATTTTCTCATATATGTTATAGCCTCACCATCTGACTCTGGGCCTGACACTGCTGTCTGCAAGTTTCCAAGATGTAATTTGGCATTTTTTAATACCGATGAACATTTATTTTGCCTCTGTCATTCAGACTGTTAAGGGGTAGACGTCTTCCACCTTCATGGAAATGGCTTTTGTCAGCTCTAGACTGACAAAAGATCTAGACTGTTTTGTCCAAGCTACCTTCCAGGGTGGTGGCTTATCAGGCTGTAGCCATTCTGCATGATCAAACATTGTGTTCCAGGCCTTTACTGCCTCCTGTCTGATCCAGACGGCACTGCTGAGAATCTTTAGAAGGATTTCAAGCAGTTTATGCTGACACATGCGTCAGTTTCCGCTGACTTCCTCTGCCAATTCCACTTTAGTTCTTGGGTGGCCAGTTTGTCCAGTATGTTTGATCGACTCCTCTACTTCTCTGGGTCTGAGGTTGAATGAAGCAACTGCAGGGAAAGTCCCCATATGGGGTTCTGACGGAGGTAGCAGAGTCTACTTTCCTTCCTTCACTCTGGGGGTTCCAGAAGAATCAAATACTCCCCGAGTAGAGACCGAAAGCTGCAACCAACCAATGGGCAAGTACCGCACACAGCGAGACTGCGTTGTAGTCACTGATAAGAAAATAAAGGTACACGTAATGGAACTATATGTAACAAAGGCAATTGAAATAGACCAGCTATCACCATGGCTGTTAAGTTAAGAGTGTGGACCTCACACATATCTAGAAAACAGAAAATGCCGTTCATTACAGTACTCATATTCATCAAAGACAATGGAAGGGAAGCCCTGTAACGTACCAGTGAAAACATTCAGCACGAATGTTGACCAGACCACACACTAGAAGGTGAAGGGACGACGACGTTTCGGTTCGTCCTTGACCATTCTCAAGTCAATTGTGTAACTTCATAAAGACTTCACACAATCGACTTGAGAATGGTCCAGGACGGACCGAAACGTCGTCGTCCCTTCACCTTCTAGTGTGTGGTCTGGTCAACATACTTTAGCCACGTTATTGTGACTCCTCGCCTGCATTCAGGACGAAAACAATACATCAAATGGAAAGAAACTTTGTAGCCGTTAAAGAGCATGAATACATTAGAGGCAAGTCGTGCCTGACTACCCTGACACTGGTGAGTAAGACAAGCGTGAGAGGGTCGGGTAGACCGTACTTTCCTGGGCTGCCAAAAAGCCATTAACAGCATGCCTTACAGAGGGATAATGTGTAAGATGGAGATGTAGACTTTCGATTGTTTTTAAAGCTCTTCTGTTCTTGAAACTCTACCCTGAGACCACCATCCCAGGTGATTATGTGGTCCTTGTGGCTCTGTCTCTGTAGCACACAGATGATTGATTGATATAGATTAAGGCACCCTTAGAGGTGGTACGGGCATGAATAGCCCGTAAGTGGAGGCCCTTTTGAGCCATTACCAGTATCAATAGATGATACTGGAGATCTGTGGAGGTGCGACTGCACCCTGCGTGACGGGAGATGTCTCCCGTGCTGTAGCACACAGATGATTGATTGATATAGATTAAGCCACCCTAAGAGGTGGCACGGGCATGAATAGCCCGTAATGTGGCACACAAGCTTGCATAGTCATCACAGCTAGGGTGCTTCACATCAGCACCGATCAATTATTGCAGATTTTGCAATAATCTGCAATAATTATCAGGGACGGTGCAAAATACTCCCACTAATGGCCTACTACCATTATTTAATATCGTTAATCTAATAATGTAAGAATATTGGTTTCAGTTACTGATAATGCCTTCTAGTGTCCCTCATTAACTAATACAAATTGTATTTTGGGCAGTAAAAAATTGTAAACATTTGATTCATCAACTTTTATATGTTTAAACATTGTGAGTCTTGTAAATTTATCACAGTAACTGTCAACAACCAAATTGGTTTGATACAGTTAACTATGCAGAATATGTACCTCAATTTACCTGAGGGTCACCATCACTAGTGGCCTCGACAGGGACAAGAAGCTGGCAGCTTGTCAAAGGTCCCCCCCCCCCATTGTTCCTGAAGATTTTTTTCCAGCTGATATTCAAACTGAAGTAAAGTCCTGGCATTTGCAGCTTCCGCGAGAAGGTGGTTCCTTGGGTTTATAACCCTAAGGATGAAAGGGTAACTCCTGTTTTGTCCTACATTATGGCTTTTTGACCTTTAACCTGTTGCCCCTTATATGGGGGTTACATTTGACCTTAAAAAGAAGCTTTTAGAAATTAAAATTGCATATATTTCGTGATTTTTTTTCAGGACTACTGTAACAATGGGTCGTCCATCTGCAATTCAAGGTCTTATATAGTTGAATTTCTGCCTTCATGTTGCTCATAATAGAGAATATTTTCTTATTAAAATAGTGTGTTAAGGGTGGTTACCATTAGTTATTGAATAATAGTGACACCAGCC